ATCCAGCCCTGTTTTCAGAAGATACATGTGGATTTGCCCAGTCCATCATTTGTCTCATCATTTCATACTCAACACACATATTCAACTATCTCATAACCCACTTTGCCTACTATAAAACCTATTTTCCCCTCTATTAACCATCTCAACAGGAATGCTTTCTCTCTCTCTCTCATCTATTTGGTCAGTCACTAATTTGGAATTATTCTACCCCTTGAATCACAGCACACTTGGAACATTTTTTCCTCTTTGCTATGCCCAATCACTGCTGCTCTTTAGCAAACTGAGGTTTCTACTAGTCAGCCATAAAAAAGAATGAGATCTTGCCACTTGCAACAACATGGATGGACCTAAAGGGTATTACACTAAGTGAAATAAGTCAGACAGAGAAAGACAAATACCATATGATTTCACTTATATGTGGAATCGAAAAAACTAACCAGCCAAACAAACAAACAAAAGCAGAAACTGTCCCATAAATACAGAGATCAAACTGATGGCTGCCAGAGGGAAGGGGTGGGGGATGGGCAAAAAGAGTGAAGGGGAGTGGGAGATACTAACTTCCAGTTTGGGAATAAATGGGAAACAAAGGTACAAGCCTAGGGAATATAGGGAATGGTATTGTAATAGCATTGTATGGTGACAGATGGTAACTCCACTTGTAGTGAGCACAGCATAACAAATAGAGTTGTCAAATCACTAGGTTGTACATCTGAAAATAATAACATTGTGTGTCAACTATACTTCAAAAAAAGATACAAACAGATAATATACTTTAGTATCTATCTATATCTATTTAATTCCTGAGACACTGCTATGTATTTATTTTTATAAAGTTCATTAATGTGGAAAGCAAATCTAGATATCAATATCTTTGCTCAAAATAAATTTCAGGTAGATAATAGCATCAAAATACAAATATTGTCACAAGATGCATCTAGAAATTATATTCTTAAGGGACATGTTAGAATAATATAATAAATGCTTCAGAAGTTTCTTTTTTGCATACTTTTATTAGAATACATTTTTTACTCTCATAACATCAGTAGGGAAATAATTCAAATGAGGTGAGCCACTAACAACGTTTTGTTAAAATATCAGTAGAAATTCCATTTATCAGTTGTTTTGTTCATAGTTAAATGCATTGTATATGATTTGCCTTGTGATCCTTTATCTTGTTTCTCAAATGCCATCCTATCTTGAATTAGCATTGGCTTTCATTATATTTAACACTAAAATTTCATTTTAATTGTGTTCAGTTATGATTATGTGGGAATACCCAGCAGATAGTGTGGATATCTTCGCTTTGGCAAAAATAGAGTGAAGGAGGGGCGTCTGGGTGGCTCAGTTGGTTAAGCGACTGCCTTCGGCTCAGGTCATGATCCTGGAGTCCCGGGATCGAGTCCCGCATCGGGCTCCGTGCTCGGCAAGGAGCCTGCTTCTCCCTCTGACCCTCCCCCCTCTCATGTGCTCTCTGTCTCTCTCTCAAAAAAAAAAAAAAAAAAAAAAAAAAAAAAATAGAGTGAAGGAGTATTATAGGCTTCAGACACACCACTCAGAGGTAAGAAAGGCTAATTTTGTCCTCTCCTAGTGCAAAACACTTTAGCAGATACTCATTTTATATTGGTTCCTATTCATCTCTTTCCTATTTGGGGATATACAGCTTCTCTAATTAATTGAGATCTATGTATTTTTCCTACCTTGTGAGGTGTTATTCAATTCATCTAATTTAGAATATCTGCTTAACATAATGAATTACAGTGTAGAGTTGAGGAATAGAAAGAGATGTGTACTAAGAGTCTGGAATCTTGGATTTGTAAGAAAAGTATTTCTCTAACTCGTCATTCTCTTTATTCATGGATAACATGTTTAAGAATTGTGATAGCTAGCAACATCCTGTCCTTTAGGGATATACTGCCTAATAGAGACAGAATTTGTACCAGAGTTCTACAGAACTTAAGCAATACATCTTAAATGCCATAAATGACCTACCACACCATGTCAAGATACTTCTAAAGCCCTAAAGATGTTGGCTGATTGGGACAAGTGAGCTTATATTAGAGTTCTGGATGTTAAAACAGCTAATTAGGGTGCAGCCAGAGTAGTAAATTATATTTGATTACACACAGTAAACTTATGTTCAGGGAAGCAAAACAGGGAAGAAGGGTGAAAAAGAAAGAAAGAAAAAAAGGAAAAAGAAAGTTTAAGTAGATAGAATTAGAAACCTCAATTAATGTAATTTCATTTCATTTTCTCTGCATATGAACTGTACTCTGAAATGTTAGAGAATGAAACTAAATTTAACATTATATATAGATATAGATATCATAAGTCCATGTTGGGTGGAATTGAAAATTTTTTGATGTTTGATCTTCTGACTCCTTAGTAATAAATAGACTAGAAAGAATCATAAAAATTGTTAAAAAAAATTTTTTTGAACTAATTAGGTTGTTCAAAATAGAAAGCAACCAATGTTCTAGCAGATACTTTTCATAATACACATAGACACTGAAAATTGCCTTGCTTATTCATTTGCATTCCACAATAAATTTCAGATACTATTTGCTGTCTAAAATTTTTTTGTTAATCTATCAAATAATATCAGAAGCACAGTCATAGACAATCTCCCCAGATGATCTCTATAATAAGAGTCAGTTTCATAATTCTCAGTTTTTATTCTTGAGAACCTATTTGTTCAGAACAAAAGTAATTCATTTGAAACTACTATCCTATATGAAGTGGAAAAAGCCAGAGAGGGTCATCTATAATTTTTCATTATTCAATGACTTTTTCTTTAATCTTCTTTTAAAATGTAAAAGCTATATGAAAGCGAGACAATACTTTTGCTTTCTTCCATGTGATTTGGATCAAACTAAAAACAACAGTATAATGTAATAAAGCTGCATTATAAAAGTACCTGTAGCAAGGTGAATCTGATGCAATTAAAAAAGATCAATATAAGAAAAAAAACTTCCAAGTGACACAATTTTTTGAACTTTCAAAACTGTGCATTCTGAAAGAAACAGAAGCACACTGACAGGAAGTGTTAAATATTTAAAAAGTTATCAGTAAACATAAATCTGTCTAATGCATTATAGTTTCACTTACTCTACTAGTACTTGGTCTCCCTCATAAAAGTAAATGCAATAGAATTCTAAAATACAGAAAACTGTGGGTGGATTTGTGTTTCAATCATTTATTCATACTGTTTTTTGAATTATATTAGGATAGAGTTTTTTTTTTAACTGTAAATACTAAATACTAAAAAGATTAATAAAATGATTATAATGCTTAAAGTAGGAAGATACTGAAAATATACATATGTATATGCAAGAAATATTTAAAAATGTTTGTCTCTATTAGTATTCTTGTATCTTTTCCCCTCTATCTAGAAATATCTAATAATATACTTTAAAGTTGATCATGTTTTAAAAAACAGAGACTAAAAAGAGTACATAATAAGAAGCAGCCCACCAAAGTTTCCCTCAAAGTATATAAGCAAGAAATAATATGGAATAGTCACGAAGTCAAAAAGAAAAGTGCTTTTTTTTTTCCAAAGGGAAACAGATATGCATTATGATTGTGAATAATATAAAACCTACAATACTATATCTCAGTTTGAAACATTAAGTGAATTTATCAATACATTACTAAAGAAATTGACAGATTTTTCAATTAAAGTTGGATGAAAGGTAATTAATAATGTAGCTACTGGAAGGGGAGACGAACCATGAGAGACTATGGACTCTGAAAAACAAACTGAGGGTTCTAGAGGGGAGGGGGATGGGAGGATGGGTTAGCCTGGTGATGCGTATTAAAGAGGGCACGTTCTTCATGGAGCACTGGGTGTTATATGCAAACAATGAATCATGGAACACTACATCAAAAACTAATGATGTACTGTATGGGGATTAACATAACATAATAAAAAAAATGGATCTAAAAATAATGTAGCTGCTGCCTAGAATATTGTAACAGAGACATGAGAAATCCAAAAAAAGTAACTGAGTAATGTATAGAATTGTTGAAACTAATATAATCCTGTATGCTAATTATACTTCAATTAAAAGGTAAAAAATAAAATAAAATTTAAAAATAATTTAAAATTAAGAAACAAAACAGAAAAGAGAACAAACTGTTGGTTGCCCCAGGGAAGAGGGTTGGGGGGATGGGTCAAATAGGTGAAGGGAGTTAAGAGGTACAAACTTTCAGTTATAAAATAAGTAAGGCACAGGAATGAAAAGTACAGCTTAGGGAATATAGTCAATAATATTGTAATAACCTTGTAGGATGACATATGGCAACTATACTTATCGTGCAAGCATTTTGTAAAGTATGTAATTGTCGAATCACTATGGTCTACCCCTGAAATGAATATAATATTGTATGTCAACTATACTTCAATTAAAAATGTTAAAAAAAATAAATAAAACAAACAAAAAAAGAAAGGAAGGAACCCAAGTGTTTAGAAATTTTAGCATTTGTCTCTATAAGGAATATATGCTTTCCACATTTTATATCTTCACTTTAGTATTCTACTATTTGTCTTAGAATTTTACATAGAATGCCAGAATATATTGTTAACACTAAAAACATAACATAATAGAATTTTGGAAGGTATTGATTTCTGAATAGCAAAAATAAGAAATCTAAGGTTAAGAAAAAAAATACTAACATTGAGTCTTAGAGCCCATGAAAATAATTTGAGTATATATGAAACTCACAAAGGTTGGTATTTTAAATAATTTTAATATATCTTTGAAGCTCAAAAATCTAGAAATAATAAAGCACTAAATAATAATAATAATACCCTAAGAAATAATTAAGCTTCCTTAGAATTAATTTCCCACTACTTGTGTACTAATTATGCAATAAGATTTTTAAATAATAATTTAGGAAAAAGCAATACAATAACATAAAAATCCAACTTTGTTTTAACGAGTGTTGCATGGCAGAGAGCAATTAGCACAGACTTTCATCATGTCCATTTTTAGAGAACTCACCTGGTTAGCAATCTGCCGAGCAAGGACATCCATCCTTGATCCTGATTCTGATATCATTTTAGCTGCATAGATCACATCAGTTGTATGCTTTAGTGGTCCTTTGCCCCTTAAAGCAAAAGAATACATGTTAGTCGCAGTGGCTTATGCTAAGATACAAATGCACACACACATGAGATTTGCACCCCCGAGTACTGGCCATTCTCTTTACATACTTCAGTTTTGGAGAGGCACCAATTAGACACCAATATTAAATGAAAAATGAAAAACAAAAGAAGTCCCATTGTGTTGAGATTCAGGAAATACTGCCAAGAAGATGAACTCCATTTGATCTTCATTCCCCAGTATTTATAATAGTAGATATTTCAAAGCAAAGGTCTTTTCCTAATTTTAAGAGAAAACATGAGATTTTGGATATTTTATATATATTCAACATTGCATTTTCATCACCAAGTGTACTTTTTATCTTTCTCTTTATAATACTTTTTAAAGATTTTATTTATTTATTTGAGAGAGAGAGAGAAAAAAAAAAATGAGCATGAGCAGGGGGAGAGGCAGAGAGAGAGAGAGAAAGGGAGAAGGGAGCAGGGAGCCAGATGCAGGCCTCGATCCCAGGACCTGAGATCATGACCTGAGCCAAAGGCAGACTCAACCGACTGAGCCACCCAGGCGCCCCTCTAATCCTTTTTTTAAGTCTTTCAGTTAATTGCATTTTGTTTTTGCCACATTATATCTTCTCCACAATTAATTAATTGTAGTATCATAGTAACACTAAGTATGAATCTGGAGTCACACTACCTTGGACTGTTTCCAAAAACAGACCACTACTTCTTACCATTTTGTATAAGTCAAGCAAGATAAACAGCCACTCTGTGCCCCAGTTTCCTTAGTGGTAATGGGAGCACATACCACATGGAGTCACTCTAAGGATTTCTTGAGCTAATATCTAACAAGTGCTCAGAACATAGCTTTAAAGTAAATAAGTATTCAAAAATATAGGTTGTTATTGTTATGGTTGTTACTTTAAAATAATTTTGGTTCCAAATGCCATGGAATAAAAGTTGGGTTCATTTATGGGTTTTACAAGCTAGGTAAAAAAAAGAAATGCACTTCTTACACTTTTGGAGTGGGATCACATAAGGAGATATTTTTTCTATCTTCTCTTTCCTCAAAAATAAATGATTATCTGAACGAATGGAGCTTCCATACACCCCAAGCTCTCCTTTCCCTATGACCAATTCCTTACCCTCTTCTCTCTGTCAACACACTGTTCTAATTTGGTTTCTGTTCCTTGTTCCTAGCACAAAATGGGACCCTGAAGGAATCACTCACAAAAGTAAATGTTGTGATGCTTTGAAAGGAGCAGAGAGAATCAGGGAGGCTCTAGGGAAGATTAAGCCAGTCAGGGTGAGAAAAGGAAGATTCTGAGAGGCTAAAATACAGTGGAGTTAGGAGCGAAGGGGAATGAAAACAATCTCTGTCCCTGTCTTATTTACACCTTGGATGTGTCTTGAGAGTAGATGCCCTTATGTGAAATCTAAATTAGATTTATTGTTAGAGGAAAATCTCTCTTCACTAAGGAGACTGTCCCTGGGTAATAATAAAAGACAGAGAGGATTCATGCAAAGGTAAATGATGAGAGTATTCTTAGAAACCTGGATACCAAAACGCTTATGCTCTATAAGCCCAAATGGCCCTTTTGTTGCATTTTTCTTGTGATGGCTTTCAAATTTATTATAAGCATGTTTTCCTGAAAAAATGGAACTGCATTATTAACTCAATGAAAACCTGTCCTCAGTATATATGCTTATCACCATACTTCTCTTCTTTGAATCTGTTGACATAGATTGCTTTGTGATTTTTTAAAAATTGGCATTAATTATGACAATGTTTGAGTTGCTCTTATCAAGTTTACTTAATGCATCAGGCAGAACTAGATGTTATGGGCATGGTTACTTTCAAGAAAGGCAATGTGTTTCATTATTTCCACACATCTCTAGAGAAAGTTAAACTTAAATGAGGCTGTCTAAGATTGAAAGGCAATGTATCAATTTTCCAGGTCTTAAACAATGGCCAAAGGTTGTTTCTGAGTAGAGCGGGGAACACTCTTGTAGCTTAAACAATGGACAACGAGTTACATCCAAGGAATGCAGCTAATGCACACTTCGCTGTCAAAATAATATATTTCCCCATATAAAAACCCTAGACTGATGAAAGGGAAATTACCTTTAGCTTTAAATTCATACGTTGTTATGAGACCACTATCTTAAACACATGTAGAACTTAAAAGTAATACATTATGACAGACCACAATTATTCTCTTCTTCATGTTACTAATTAAATGTATTGCCTGGCAAGCTTCCTACTGAGTGCCAAACCAAATACACATTTTACAAATGATTCCGTATTATGCCAAGCTTCCAGAGGAAGCTGCAATTACTGAAATATAATAAATTTTTAACATTCCAGCCTGAAATGTGCTATGTAATGAAGGCTTTTTAAATTGGGAAATGCATTCAAAGGTTGTTTGCTGCCTTCATTTTCATAATGGGTTCTCAGGCTCTCCTGTCAGCAAATTGTGTCTTAAATCATTGATTTGGATCTGACAGAGAAAGATACCCAGAGGAGGATGGGATAAACTTTAGAAATATTTTAAAGAAACTGGAGGCCAGAAATCTCTGAAAAATAGTGGTTGCAATAATAATCTATTTCCTCCAAAAGGAGAGCAGATCTAGCTCCGGAGTAGGGAGTCTGCCATGTAATCATCAAACTATAGGTTAGAAGGTATAATGGGAAAGGTTTCAATAACCCAGCAATGTTGATGCCATGGAAAAGTTTTTTAGGCATGTGAAAGGGATACCTTTGAAGCTTAATTTATTGGTGCAACAAAAACCTTTCAGCCATTTTGATGCTGCCCCGACCTTGACTCCAATTCCTCCCACATCCCCACTGCATTTCTGGACCTACCACTCCCTTCTTTCTCTTTCGATTAGCATGAGAAAAAAAAAAAAAAATGAGATGATGCAGCTGATCAGTAAAACCTCTATTAAGTAGGGATCTGGTTTAAGAATAGAAAATATCAAACAGTTTTATAGACTTATTTTGTCATTTCAGAGACAGAGAATATGTATGAAATGATTTGATGTTTTCTGCCACTGTTTAAAAACAAAACAAAAAAACTTTATTATGTATTTTGCACTTTGCAGCCCCTAAATTTTTGATAACATAATATTACACCATTTTCAAGACCTAAAACTATCCCTTTAATTCTCTTCTCCTTTGGTATTTATATAGAATAAGTCCCATGATGTTGTGGTTCACTTAGTAGATGAATACAATGACAGTATATATTTTGTTCCATAATTGTAACTAACACATTTAGCATTTTCTGTGTGCTAGACATTATTCCATACACAAACTGATTTGATCATTATAATAACATTATGAGTTTAGAATTATTATTACCCTTATCTTGCAGATGAGGAAACTGAAGGATAAAGATGTTAAATATATCTTTTATTAAGTTACACAGGTAGTAACTATTAGAGATGGGATTTGACCTCAGGCAATCTGGCCACAGGATCTGCCTTTAATGACTATCTTATATTTCTTCTAATAAAACACACTAATACAAAATTAAAATATTAATTTTAATTGTTAACTAGGTTTATTGTGATAATTTCACTATACAAATACCAAATCAATTTTTAACACCTGAAACTAATATAATGTTATATGTCAATTATACCTCAATAAAATATAATAAAATAAACATAGGAAAAAATATTATAAACATCTCCTTAGACATTGATGGCAGTTACCATGAATGCAGTAGAGAGCAAAGACAAGGATTAGATCTATGTGCTGGGTAGTTAAGAGGTTCACCAACAGCGATTTCCTCATGCACAATAGCCTCAAGAAACACATCTATCTCCTAGTCCCAACAAAATAAAAATGTGCTACATTACATAGACATTTAAAGTAACTTATAGTTCTGGGATTTCTTTCTTGAGATACTCATACTTTTCTCTGTTACTCATGTCAGTACCCTTCCTCCCTCTCCCACTTTCCTTGGATTCTTAACACCAAACTCAAACTCAGCCATTACATAAGCCATGCTAGAGGGGAGATTGCATTTGGATGATTATTTATAATACAAGACATAGAACTTTTATCTAAGAATCTTAGCTTTAGACATAGTTATTTTATTTAATTCTAACACTCAAACTTGATGTTACTATTGCAACTCTACTGAGTAAAGTGAAATGAATATAGACTCAGTAAATACATTTTGTCTGCATCCCAGTTCTGCTACTTATAAGCTATGTAGCCTTGGGTAAATAACAGTTGGTCTGAACTTATTTTCTCTTCGTTAAAATGATTGTGATACTTGCCACATGGTAAGGATTCACAAAATCATGTATTTTTCACAATATTTGGCACATATTAGATGCTCAGCAAATGTTACTTTTTTCTTTTCTTCATCCCTTTATGAATAATGGTATTTTATTTAAAAAATCATGCTTTCCTTTTTTATTTAAAAATTACAGTACTTGCCAAACAATATGAACAGACTTGATTCATCTTTCTTATACCTGATGACAATATAACTCTGTATAACCTTATTCATAATATTCTTTCATAAGGTTATAAAATATATACACTCATAAACTGTGTGTTCATAGTCGTTGTTGTTCAAGGTTGTTCTTTAATTCCTTATAAGGTGTTGATTTACATTTAGTGACACCTTTTTGATAGTATAAACCTCCTAAGATAAGTGATTTAGCTCTACAAGAGTACCATCAGAATTCTCTTACTTGTAATACTGAAATTAGATACAAAAGGAAAAAAAGTAATTATCATGAAAGCAACCAAAAATGATGAGATAAAGAGAGGTACCAGACTCAAACAAGGACACCTTGTTTTTCTACTTTTCAAACATGAAGTTTTAATTAGGCAACTCTCTACCTCCGGATGTTAATTCCTCTTGTAAAGTGTTATTCTCAAATTTTGAGGACTCTATAAAAGTCCTTGGAAAATCAGCAAGTGAATAATCTGCTAACAATCATCCTGAGCAATTAGTATCCTAAGAAACCTTTGGGATTCAAG